GAGGGGGAGCCGCGCTTTGTCTGGAGAGAAGGGCCTTGTCGCCTGTGGGGCGCGGTGCCTGAAGTCATCAGGGCTCGAGGCTGGGCTTCAGTTTTCGGACCGCTGCTGCAGCTTTCAGGTTTAGTCTTTGGCCCTTGCAGATTCTGATCTTGGCTCCTACTCGAGAGATTGCTGTGCAGATCCACGCTGTGATCACGACTATTGGGGTGAAAATGGAGGGCTTGGAATGCCACGTCTTCATTGGGGGGACTCCCCTGAGCCAGGACAAAGTCAGGCTGAAGAAGTGCCACATAGCGGTGGGCTCCCCAGGTATGGATGAGCTTTGTTGCGCTTCAGAGACTGTGCACAACACTTGGTGCTTTTGAAATATGTTGAGTTTTTTTGGTTGGTTTTGTTTTTTGTTTAAGTAACAGGGGGTAATCTCAAAAGCCAGTGCCAGAGACATTTACATCAGGTACTTTTAGTGAGAGATTATTCCAAATATGTGTTTTTTGAAGGGGTAGTAAAATTAATTTTTTAAAAAATTACAAAATTCATCATTAGAACCTTTCAGTTAATATTTCTGGAGTTCCTTTTACTTTTTTCTTCATGTATAGGTCGAATAAAACAGCTCATAGAGTTGGACTACTTGAATACAGCCAGTATCCTGCTTTTCATTCTTGATGAGGCAGACAAGCTGCTAGAAGAAGGCAGTTTTCAGGAGCAAATCAAGTAAGAAAAACATTTATCTCATGCATTTTTTAGGAGGTTGGATACATATTTGTTAGTCATTCCCACTTCTTTGTCTCGCAGTTGGATTTACTCTTCGCTACCAGCCAATAAACAGATGCTTGCTGTTTCAGCGACTTATCCCGAATCGTTAGCTAATGCTTTGACCAGGTACATGAGAGAGCCCACCTTTGTGAGGTTGAACCCTACTGATCCAAGTCTCCTTGGTAAGTAGAGGTTCATTTATGGTGGTATTGTCATCAATAGATTACGAAGGGTATACTAAAACCAAAGCGTGTACCTTTAAAATTTGTGATTATTAATAATTTCCCTCCACAAGTGAGTCGATTAGTTTATGAAGTATTTATTCCCAGTGTTAATGTATTTAAAATATCAGTAATGAATGTAACTTTCTGTTTTTTCTATCCATTCAAAAAATATTTTAACCTTTTAAGGAAAGCGTGTTCTGTAGGTTCTTACTTGGAACATGTGTGTTCTTGTTTAAAGCCTTTGTTTTATCTGCAGTGGCACATGTTGATAGCAGCACAGCACTGTGCATGGTCTTATGGAAATCCCTAATCTGATTTTTTGTTTTGTTGTGTTTCATGCTCAGGGCTGAAGCAGTACTATAAAATTGTGAATTCCCACCCGCTTCCGCATAAAACATTTGAGGAAAAAACTCAGCACCTACAGGAGTTGTTCAGCAAGGTTCCATTTAATCAAGCCTTAGTCTTCTCAAATTTGCATAGCAGGTAACAAATTTGAAATAAAATCTGTAAAAAGCATGTTCGAAAGCAATGGTTGTAATGTCCAGTTGTGGATAAACTTACATAGACCTTCTGTAAGGTCTCAAAGCAGTGTGCAGTTTGGGATCTGAAATACAACCGGAGGAATGCAGTATGAAATACTGAAAATAAAGGAATGCTTTAGTGTGAAGGCACCTCATGCACTGTTCAAAATACAGTGAGACCTGATACCGTGGTGGTGGTTTCCATCTGTCAGGTGACTGTTCTAGACATAAAGATGAAAGTGACGGTTTTGGAACGCGGTCTGTGGCTGTAGAGTGTAGCCTGTTGTTAAGAAATGCCATGGGGTTGTTAGGTTTGAGGTTTTATTTACAGTTTTCATTGTGTATATTCTGTCAGGGCTCAACATCTAGCGGAAATACTGACATCCAGAGGCTTTCCTGCTGAGTGCATTTCAGGTAAGTCCATTCAAAACTTTCTGGTTCTATTTAAGTTGTGCATAAACGTGACCTAAAATAGGATAATTGATCTTAAATCTTGGTTTGCATGGCCTCTAGTTAAATAATGAAGAATAACGTTTGAATCTTCATAGGTCTTTAGGACTGAATTATTTTTTTTTTACCTGCTTTCAGATTTGTGTGAGAGTCATTTTTATGACTGTCCATTATTGGCCAATGTATTGGCTAATTTGTAAAGAGAAAGTTTACTTATATTTGCAGGTTGAAGCAGTGTTTCTTTGCAGATGTTAAATTTAAATCTTTTTTATTTCTAGCTGCTCTATAAAATACTGATAGCTGGTACCTAACGTTTATTAAAAACCTTGAATTTTTATTTCAACAGTGTTTTCCTTGGCTTATGTGTTTAGCATGTGCCTAAAGTCAGTGTTGTTGGAGTGAGTTAAGTGTCTGCGTATTTGGTTTCTCTTTAAAACAAGCAAAAGAATCATTTATGTAATGGATTTCCTTATTTTCAAGTTTTTGTTTGTTTGTTGTTCAGTCCTCAAACTGATGTTTGAGGAAATTTCTCTCAACCTTATCTCTGATATCTACAGTTTTACAAAGCAGTTTTTTTCCAGAAATTGAGGGGAATAAAACTGAGGAATGTATCTGTTTCCAATTTTTCTCTTTCCAGGCAGCATGAATCAAAATCAACGACTTGATGCTATGGCTAAATTAAAGCAATTCCACTGTAGAGTTCTGATTTCCACAGATTTGGTGAGTTAGTGTTTTATAGCGTACATGAATATTGTACACAAAGTTATTTCAGAGAATTACATTTGACTTGGAATTGAATAGAAAATAAAAGTAATGACAAAGCATGTGACTTCAGGACTGTGTGTGACTTATTTTCATTGTGAAACGTAGAAATTGTCCCCTGTTCCTCATCTGGTTCAAAAATAATTTATCTGTTGGTTTGCAGAAGCTTATAGGTACTTCAGAGGAGTGGAGTTGTTTGCTTTGGATAGGAACTATTCCTAGGACAAGAGTAATTTGTTTCTCTAGTACAGTGTGCTCGCAACAGTGACACCCCAAACAGCTTTCCATAGAGCAGTGGTTAGGCTTGAGGCGGTCTCAGCTTTTTCATGCTTGGTGTTTTTTCTCTTCAGTTGGTTGTTTGAGGTCCTGTCGTGAAAAGGTTACTGCTGTTGGGTTGAATTTTTTGATGCTGGGGGAAGAAACATGCTTGTGTTTGACACGTAGAAGGTGTAAGAAAAATGATCTGTAGTTTTCAATGCAATATGCCTATTGTACATACAATACTGTAATCTGGCTGGAAAATTGTAGCTGCTTTAAGGTGTGTTGTAACAACTGAGAGCTATAGTATGAGCAGTTACTCCAAAACGTGTTGTATTTATTTCAAGATCTGTTCAGCATATTTGGTTACCTGTCCTCTTCTCTCCTGCTCGCTTTCTCAAGACATCTCGCGGAATTGATGCTGAAAAAGTGAATCTGGTTATCAACCTGGATGTACCTGTAGACTGGGAAACATACATGCATCGTATTGGCAGAGCTGGGCGCTTTGGTAAGAAGAGCCATGTGGATTCTTGAGCTTGTGCTGCTTTGCTGGCGCTGGCTAGGTAGTTACACCTTCTGTTGTGTGTCACAGGAACTTTAGGCTTATCTGTGACATACTGCTGCCGCGGAGAGGAAGAAAACATGATGATGAAGATTGCTCAGAAGTGCAATCTTCAGCTGCTTCCTCTACCAGGTATGCTCTGTCCTATGAATGCAACTGGGTTTTTGTTGGTTATTTGCTGTTTATTCAAAGCTTCAGACGAGTCCATGGGGAACTGCCATGTGTCTTCTCTGCTGAAGTTGCATTAATTTTGGCACAGGTTTTTCATGTGTGTGCTCGTGACTACTTGTGTAACTGCTGCAGTTGGGCGAAGCAATAGGAAACAAACTTAGTGCGTGCCTATACGTAGGGAGAGGAACTCTGCATCCAGCTGTTACTTAAGCAACTACATAACTACTTGCATTTCCAGAAATCTGGTATTAAGCCTTTCTCAGGCTGTAAGATACAGTAGGAGAAGTAAGGAAGAAATAATGGAAACAGCAGAAGATTTTCTACCCTTGCTTTGCCAGAAGCTGTTCTGCTAAAAATATAGCATTTTCCTTCTTGTCTAAGTTCTAATTTCTTATCTGGTTAAGTAGGATGTGAAAAATAGTTCACAGGTAACGTAATGCTGCTTGTCTTCATCAACTTTTTGATCTCTTACATGAAGAAAATGGTTTGGCTCTTTGAGCTCTTTCAAGAATTGAAGGGGTCTGTTTGTAGCCCTAACTTAACACATCTTAACACCTTGTCTGTGATTTTGCAAAGCTTTACTTCACTGTTCATTTGAGCTCTAGAGGGAAGGATGCACTTAACTGAGTGCCTGCTTGTTTCCCTTTTGTGCAGAGCCTATACCTCCTGGAATGATGGATCACTTTGAAGATGGGGAGGTAGAAGTCAAAACTGTTATATATACAGGTGCTTCAGTGAATTCTGACACTGTGTGTCTTAGACCAGAGGAACCAGTACTGCAGCCTGTCCAACATAGTTTTTCAGAGGTACCTCAGCCTCTTTCTAATATTCCAGGCGCTACTTCTTCTGTAGAAAGGCCAAAAAAGGCTCTGAAGCAAAAGCAGATAAAAAAATGCACAAATTCTGCAAACCCAGAAAAAGGTAGTAGAAACCCCCAAACTTCCAGCTGCCACATGGAACGGAGGAGTCAATTCAAAACTGTGTCCAGAACGGATGGACAACGTAACACTCAGTCTCCAGATGAGGAGGCCTTAAAAAAGAGCCTTCCCAGAATTCCGTGCTTGTCTTCTTTCAAAAACCAACAGAACAATCCCTGGAGCTTAGCAGCGTTTGTTGAAGACTATGAGTATTTCATTAAAGAAGGGTTGGAGAGAGAGGTTGAAATCTTAAGGAGCTATTCAGCCCCGGGAGAACAGCGTGAGCTCCTCAGAAATGGTGTAGAGTGGCAAGAGGTGGAACATAATACAGAGACGGCAGGAAACGGTGTGATGTCTGGTGACAGTGATGGTTCGTACAGTACCAGGGCTTCCTCCAATAGTAGGGAAAACAACTCGTCCTTTGAGGCATTGTCAGACACGCAGGAGAAGGATGCTGTTCCCACAGTGCGTCAGGGTCGTGCAGGCTGCTGTCCTACACCAGAGAAGCCTCAGGAGCTATCACAAGTCCCAAAGCAAAATCAAGTGAAAAAGAAAGTTCTGAAACAAAACGCTAAACAAAAGAAAAGCCATTGCCATCAATTCCCTAGCCCTTCCACGAGAAAAACTGAAGACGACTGCTCCTGCAGCTCTTGGGATGATGGTGTTCCCTACAACGCTTGGAGTTACAAAAACTACTGGAAATCTTATTATGAAGCATGGCAAAACTACTATGCTGCAGTGTCTCACTATAGGAAGAGTTACAGGCAGTTTAACTGGATGAATGCCTATCACGTCAACTCAGTCTATCTTCAGGAACTGCTGAAAAGTGGAGACTGATGTAGTGATGCTGCAGTTAGGGATGGGCTGGTTGGTGCCGTGCATGGACGTTATCTGTGAAAACATAACTGCTGGTCTGCAAGTACATGGACAAACATAAATAGGATGTTCTTTAAGATTGAAGAAAAATGTCTTTTTCATAAGTGAGCTGTGTTTAGGTAAATGTTTTACATTCCTTCCAGTGATGGTGTTACAACATGTTGTTAATAAAAGAAAATGAAAGACAGCTGGATGTTCCCTTGCAATCTTTACAATCCAAAATGAGCAAAGGAAGACTAAAGGCAGCCACTTACATGTAAGAAATCTCAGTAAGGAGAAAATGCAAACGAACCCCAGTTCTATTTGCTTGACTTGCGTTTTCCATGTGACTTTTGGGTGAAGATGAATGCACTGTAGGACTGCGTAGTCTGCTTATAGTTGGAGATCATTCTGTTTTCCGTAATTCTCACTAAACACCAGGCACTGACTGTATACCAGTCAAATGGCAGAGTGGAACCTGCATCTCCATGCCTGTGTTGCTAATTTAAATCCAGTTAATTAACACTGTATAAATAACACTTCTATAGCTAGGTGTGTGACAAGCTGTGCAGTAGAGCATGGTTTAATTATGTAGAAAATGTGCAGCAATCATAATTGGTCTGTCCCTCTGGGTGCAGCAATATCAGACTTGCTGCACTTACAGGAAAGCTTTAATTAGAAATGAAATCACCTATTAGTACTAAAACTAATTGGTATTTCCTGTTTGGGTTGCACTGCGTTGTGTGTAGCTGTCTTGAAATGGGGAAAGATGACAGTACGGGCTGGCTTGGGGTACTGACCCTAGGCTGGCTCCACACTAATTTGAAATGTCATCCTCTGGCTTTAGTATGTTTAGGATCATAGAGACGGGTTCCTTCAGTTAGTTTCTTTGATTTCTCAAAATTCACTGGAGCAGATACTCTGGTGCTTTTCTTTTTTTAATTGAGCGGAGTAAGGCTGAAATTTCCTTAGTAAAAGCGCTGCTTCCCACCTGCTATGAGCTGTACTTCAAGGAGAGCTGCTTCTTTTATTTGGTGAAACGGATGTCTTCAAGGTTAATTGATTGCTTACCTTCGGCAACTTTCATTTTGAGAAATTCAGAATGCTTTCCCTCGGCTTGCATAAATCACTTGCCTGAGCGTTCCTAATGTTGTTGCAAAATTCCCGCTGCAAATCCTGTGGTGTCCCTGGCAGCGCTTCCGACCTTGTTTGCAGTGGTGAGTCTAAACTCCGCGTCATGCAATGCAGACTCTCTGCACTGTGCAGGAGAATTGTGAGACTGATGTAGCTCATGAGGGGGGTAGGAATGAGCCCGAGCGGCTGAGCCCAGGGGCTGTCCTGCGTGGGGTGGCTTGTGGGTGTCCTGCAGCTGGGCCAGTGGTGGCCCTGGTGGGTGCAGCCTCTACTGCTGGGCAGGGGAGCGGGCTGGGAGCTGGCCTGTCCAGCCCCACCTCGGTGGGTGTTAGAGCTCACCTAATAAGTAATTCTAACTTCTGCCTAAAGATTTTTGAAAATTTTAAATAATGCCTCTAAGTGACACTTCCTGGAAGGGTAAAGATGAGATCGGCTCTACTGCTTTTGTCGTCGAAACAAGCTGACCATACCTGCAATACAGAAAGCAGGACTTTGGCCTAAACGGAACTGCCAAGATGAGATTGCCTTTTGAAAGAAAGGCATAAGATGTGCTCTTGCAATATAGTAAATATCTTTTTAGGAGAAGTATTTTTCTTTCTGTACTTTTCTCTTGCCTTACTCCCTTTGTGTCACAACAAATTACCCCAGGCAGGGGGCTTGCCAAGGCTTTGTCTGTGTAGTTTGAAAAGGCCGATATGATTTTGTTGCCAAGATGAACTTTATTACAACTCTTAACACTCAAAAGGAAGATACTGCAGGAGATGCAGTTAGGCATCTGCATTATTGCTCTCCTGTAACATCTCGGTCATCTTGCTGTTTTCGTTAATGGTTGCTCAAGTAAGAGTTACTACTATTTAAATGCAACTCGAGTGGCTTAGGCCAAAACCCAAAGTTCTCCAAAAGAACCTCCCAGAATTTTTTTAGAAGAAATCCACAGCATGGTCTTGATAGTTGTGGCACATACTCTGTTTAATCCAGATTGGATACATCAGGTACAGCAGTGGCACAAGACTCAATACTGTAAATGATATACAAGTTTCAACATATGCACTACAATTCCAAAAGAAGACAACAGGAAACTTGGTTCTTCTAGAAAGTTGTTCTCAAATGAAGCTACCTGCAGTTGTATACAGTACATTTTGTATCTGTCCTCTGATGTTTGTAAGCAAAGCCCATTTATAGTACGAAAATAGAAAATAATAAGGTTGAGAGCTTCTCATAACATAAAACTCCTAAAGAAAACACCATTGCATTGGAATGCCTTACTGATTTATCAAAAATAAACCATCACACGCATTTTGTAAGATACTTCGTTGGTCCGAGGAGCCAGGGGGAGCTCCCAGTCGTAGTTGCAACAGAACGGAGAAGAGCGTTCGATATGGTTGTTAACTTCTCACCCAGACAGCTGTGTGACTTCTGTGACAAGCCCTAGTTTAAATCAAAAGGAAAAGCAACACGTGCACGCATATACACACAAAGTAACAGACTGTTGACTGAGAACAAAAGAAGGAATTTTCACAAGCTCTTTGTCACCTGGTCTTTTGACTGATCCACCTGAAGTTTTTCTGGCACAGTTTTTGCGTTCTGAACGTAAGTAGTGGTACTTTTCTGGTACACTTCCTCAAGAGTTCTCTATGCTATTTTGTAGATGTTCATGAATTGAGCTTCGCTTACTGAAAGAGGATGTATTAAATTCCATACAGCTTCTATAATTGGCAAAGAGAGGTGAAATGACTTTTTGGAGGTCGCTTAGTGATTCATCAAGACAATCAGGAGTAGAACATAGGTTCCTGATGCTAACTCCGCTATCTGTACTCAATGTGCACTCTGGCTTCTGTTTGCTTTTAAAGTTGTAGAAAGATAAAACCATTATGCAGAGTGTTTATGGCATTGTTAAATGTGAAGCCTACAAATTTGAGCTCTGAAGTCATACATGTAGTGCAGTTGCTTAAAGAGTTGGAGAAAAATAAGTGATTTTAAAAAAACACAATTAAAATATATTTAATTGGTAAGTTGTGTGGAAAAGGTGTATTGTTCACCTAACTTTAAAAGCAGAATAAAGTCTTCAGTTAAAGGTGCTGATGTTCACAAGCCATCCATGAATGCTGACTTTGTAACTCTGCCATAGTCTGACACAGAAAAAAAATATTACAGGATCCAAGGGAAGTTTGCAACCCATAAATTCAATGTGATTTTTAATATACTGAATTTGCTCTATAATACATGTAAGATACAACATGTTTACAACCTCTTTACTTAAAAAAGCCAAATATTTGAAGAAACATTGCTTTCTTTAGCTGGTATTAATCTGATTTTCATGTGCACCCCTTAAGCTGTCTAAACTAGAACGATAAATGCTGGTTTGCAGTACTAGTATATTACCAACTGTTTCAGGTTAAACCAGTAGCATTGATTCAAATTTAGTGTTTCTGGCAACTGCAAAGAAGGATGTGTTTTTAATTACCTATTAACTTTATTCCAGATAAAGCCATGTGTGTTACTTAGTTTACCTTTTCCCCAGTTCACTTTTAACAATGATAATTATTTGACAGACAAAAGTGGTCTCTGGGATAAGAATTTGCTGTAGAAGGTTTTATATTCCTCTTATGCTTGTAGGCGGCTAACTTGCAGTGTGGAAAGGAGAGTAATTTAATGTGGTGTGAGGGAGTATGATTGCAGCAAGAGAGGAAAAAATAAGGAAAGAATTATGGCTGAACAGCAGGGGAAGAATCCTTGACAATGAGATCTATTAGTCTGGAATAAGCTCTCCAGGGAAGCTGTGGGAGTCCTTTCCTTGCAGAATTTTAAATCTAATCTGGGGAAAGCAATGCAATATATTGCACTGAAGGATCTTGTGCTAGCGGAGGATGGATTACATTTTTTTAATTCTTCAATTATTATGTACAGGATGTCTTACCTGTGGCCTCTTCTTTATGGGTGCCCTTAAGATTTTTGAGGAAAAGGAAAGTAAAAGGTGGATTTTAGAAAGATTACATGGAAGTCAAAGCCTAGATGTGGAAGATGTTTCCCATCATTCTTTGCCAATTGGGTGTGATTCCTGCTATTAGCATCCCAATGCCAGGTGAGAAGAGAGTAAATCTATTAATAGAAAATGTTGAAAATCTATGAAAATAGTTTTCCTTCAGAAAAGGCTTTGCAAAGGAAACAATGCTCGGAAAAAGGTGTTGCTCCTTTGATATTTTTAGTATTGCTTTATGAAAGACTGAAAAAATAATCCCCTTCCACTTGCTTTTTGTGCAATCAATGTTTTTTTAAATGAACTTTTCTAAACTTCTAAAAAAGTCGTAGGGAATTAGGGGGAGGGGGAAGACTTTTGAAATGACCTGCCAACATCCTGTCGACGTTTTGCTGAGCACTCTTGCTAACCAGGCTGCTTTGTACCACCTGCCTTTCAGAAAGGTGTCAGGAGTAGACCTGCCTATGTTTCTGGATGCCTCTCCTCCCGGAGGTAGCCTGCACCTGAAGAAGCCCTGTTCCAGACGCCTCAGGAGTGACCAGGATGGCAGGGGTACGTGCTGGTTTTTGTATCCGTACCAATGGATGCGTAGCGCCCTGGGCATGCATGGCAGTGGGGAAAGGGAGAGAGGGACGCTGGTAAGACAGGGCGGTACTGGGGACCGCTGGAGAGAATGGTCCAAGTCCTTCACTTAAAGTTCTGGCATAGGAATTTTCGGGATTGACTTGGCCTTATCTCAGCAATGGTTTATAAATTGCTATTTAAAGATTATAAAGAGCCTTGGGGTTTAGTAAAGCTAATTGCCTCCCTTTATGGTAGGAATAAGTGACTGTAGTGCAGTTCCCGTGCTCCTCTGTGCAAATGCTTTCCCTTCTTCCCTGCGTGTCATTTGGCGGATGCTGTGTTACGCCCTACCAGCCTCCGATACGATGGCGATAGGCTCTTGTCTTCGCTGTCTCAGTGAATGCACAGCGCGCTCATAATGAGGGTGTAGCTGTGTTGGGCAGTCCAGGGAGGTTTTGTACAAGCATGTTTTCAAATGCTTTTGGAAGCATTACTCAGTCTACTTCAAATCAGTGTGTAAAATGAGCTAATGCTTCCATTAAAAATATTTTCAGCTCTGTTTCTCTAGGCTCAGACTTCCTTAATTTTGTCTGTCTGAAAGTCTGTGCTGAGATACTGACTGCATGGGGCAGCACCTGCCAAGTTAATGGTAGAAGAGGCAAGCCCTGTGTTTTTGAGCCAGGATAACAATGATGCCTCTTCTATGGATGAGAACAAAGGCCATGGCTGACTTGACAATCTGAGCATAAGCAATCAGCCAGAAACCCCAAGGACTGGCTTTTCCTCCTTTTTTTTGTCCTCTTAAAAATGTTAATTATTTTTTTTTTTCAAAAAGCGTTTTGATTGACAGCAGTTAAATGCACCAGTAGTGCTTTAGACAAGGGCTGCCATGATTGCTATTTACAGATAAAGAAATGGGTGCAGAGAGATCAAGTGGCTTGTTTACCACTCCACAGTAAATCAGGAATAAGAAAGGCAGCACTGAGAATCCATGTTGAGTCCCTGACTCTTTGTAACCGTCTACTCCTGCTCCTGGGAAGGAACACTGTACCCTGTCAGCATGGTAGCGTTTAACCCGCGTTCTGTGCCATGTAAATGAGGTTGCAAGGTGGAGAGCAAGGCCTCTGATCTACAAGGGTGAGGGTGATCGGGTGGGGAGCAGATGATGACAAACAGTGAAATTAAAGCAAAGGAAAGAATAAATTAAAACATCAAGAAAAACTCAATAATGGTAAGATTAACTGCAGTATAACCTCCTACAGGAAGCAGCAAAAGCAGAGCGTTTTAATCATTTGAAACAGGACTAAGCATAGTATTGGGTACCATATTGCAGCACTGGAATAAATGAGTATAAGCTGGTGCAGCTGCTGAAGGCTTAGCCGTAGCCCTAATATTCCTAGAGTGTTGGAGGCTTCTAAGGAGGGTATTGAGTTAATGCATCGGCCGTCGGAGTCCGCTCTAGAGACCAAGAGGTTAGGAGTGCTAACAAAGCAGATTGCTAGCTCATATGTTGAAGTCAGCATGTAGGTCTATTTATCTATCTATACATGTATGTGTCTGTATTTATTTATATGTGTATGCATGTATATGTGCATATAAATATTACATCAGGATAGATTATGACAGATGTTAAAAAAAAGTCATCCCTTTGCTGAATCAGCCTCAAACATGCTTGGAGCAGTTCTTTTAGCTCGGATGTTGGTAGAATCACTGTTCAGAAAGAGGACACTTGAAATGTTTCCTTGTTCTCTGCGAGCTGTTTGGGGCCATTGCCATTTGTGGGTGTGTGTTGGGCCTTGAAGGGGCGTTTGTGCATGACTGCAGTAATTAGCCAAACAGTATATGACATGTGAAAAGGTGGGTGACCTTGTTCCCCACTCTGCCCTTCATGGCTCACACCTGTTATGAAAAGGGGACTTGAGAAAGGCAGAATGGAAGGAAAAAGTTACTCTTCTGAAGAGGGGGGGCAGGTGGAATTGGTTGTGTTTCAGGACTATGTATTTCCTTACAATAAATAGTTCCTAGAAGGATCTCAGAAAGAGGTGCTAGGACTGACCACAGCTTAGTTAGAAGTATTCGCTTCTTGGCAGTACCACACAGTGTTACTTCAGTTTTGGTTGATTAGATGTGCGTGACTTTTTCTCAAAAATAAGTGTAGAACTGCAGAAAGAAAAGTGCTGTCTGTACCACACTTTATCAAATGTTTTCCAAACTCCAGTACTGCTCCCCCTTCTCAACTGGATGCATGCTGTAGATCCTGTGCTGGGACTGGAGAACTAAAATTGCTAACATAGTCTGCCCCCAAAGTCAGTGCAACCCTGAAGCCATCGGTGAGACCACTGGAGCCCTAAGACTGTGAAAATGCCAAATACCTCTCTGTCCATGCAACAGATTAGGCTCTGGGTTAATTATTACTCAGTACAGCTCCAGACGTTATTGGCTGCTATTTACAGTGGGCTGTATGTCCAGTGCTAGCAAAGAAACTTACACACAGAAAACAAATAAAAAAGCATGGGCGTACGTTACAGGAAACCTCTGTTAGACTTATGAATGCTTGATGCAATTGAGTTCAGTGCTTTCTCATTCTTTGCCATTTGTGTGTACAGTGTTAAAAAAGAATCCTACCTTTTTTTTCCTTTTTAAAAATACAGAACTGATAGTCTAGTCACACTCTTACAAGGAAGTGATAACAAAAATAGAAAGCAGATACCCATGTGGGACTAAAACTCTACTAAAGCCTGTCTTTTTTTTTTTTTCCACAAATATGTTTTCACAGACAATAATTAGCAGACAAACACACTGTTTGCAATTGCACTGTATTGACTTAAAAGGCGGATACAAAATTGTCTAAATAAAGAATGCCATCCAGGGTGAAATAGTTGTGTGTGTGTGTGCGTGTGCACGTATATGTGCTGAGAGGCGGTTGTACTGTGCACCCAGTCATGGAAGCGTGCTCTGCTCTTTGTTATTCAGAGGTGCTCTGCTGTGGTTCTGCTGCACACTCGCACGCACACTCACAGAGGAATGGAAATAGATTTCTGTGACAGGTGGCTTCTTTGTTTAAATATTTTTCTATAAAAGAAAAAAAAATGTGAAATTTTGGTTGGTTTAAAGGTTCTGCTCCATGAAGAAAAAAAATTCATAAAATTCATTATTTTTCACCTTTTCAGTCATTTCCTCATGAATAAATATTATCCATTAAAAACCTTTAAAAAGGTGCTGCGATACACAGTGTTATATTTCCGTTTTCTTTATCGACTCTCTTGTTGCCCTGATGATTCTTTCCTTCCAGCCTCCGCACGTGATTTTTGCCCTGTACCATGGCACAACACGCTCTCTGTGCAGGTTTTTCCTTTAACCTTCCTCCCTCTCCTAATCCTTCCTCAGTCCACAGCATGAATGCGAGTCTGAAGAAAGCTGCCTCGTTAGGTCTCCATTGCTAATTCGATGACAAAATGTCAGGTTGGTCCATCCAGGCACAATTTGCAGCAAGAAAGGAACGTGGAGGTGCGGAGGGAGAGGGGCACTGGTCTTCCAGCCTCCTTCTGTGCGTGAGACGGCTTACAAGGCAGAGACCTTGACTACGTTGCTTGTGGTGGTGGTGGAAATGTTCGTGGAGTGGCCGGGGCTGCTGGGCGGAGGCCGACTCTCGCCTTCTGGCGTGAGTGCCGGCGGCGTGGGGATGCTGATGATGGCTGTCGTTATCTGGGCAGTTTTGCAGTTCGGTCTCAGCCCATCGTCTGATTTCATGTTGAGGCTGGAACGACTAGAAGACAAATTTTGAGTTTGGCTTTTTTTTTTTTTTTTGACAGTAGAAAGGATGGAATGGTAGCTGTTCTAAATCAGTATCTTATTCCTCTGAACTAAGGGCACTGAAATATTCAGAAGACTCCACTTAAATGTTTCCCCCAGTTCTGCAAGGCATCATTTATTTCTACCCAGATTACACCAAGCTTCTTTAATGTTCCCCCTGGTTAGGATACAGCTTTTCACAGGGCAAATCATTCTATGTTTCCACTTCATTCTTGCATAATTGTAGTTTAATTAAGAGGACATCTAAATATACTGTCCTGTGTACTGCATCTTTTCAGAGCACAGGTAGTTCTTTCTCAGAAAGAGATGTTGTCTTCCTTGCATTTCAAGTGCCTCTTTCAAATTCACTGTCCCTTGATCTTTTCTATTTTTTCATCTCTGCAGTAGTTTCAAGGATCTGGCAGCTGGGAGCATTCTTATTAGATCTGCATCAATTGCACCCTATAATTAATTACAGAGGAAAAATGATGGGTTGATTTCTGTGCATCTGCACAGCTACAGGAGTCTGCTATTACCAGCCCAACATGTTCATTTTAAACACAAGGCCTGTGCTTTTAAAATGTAAAGCTCCAGGTTGGAAAGCTGTTGCTGCTGTTATCTCAGTGTGACTCACCAAGAGGATGTTTCTTGATCGCTCAAGCATCCCAAGAACATGGCAGAACCCATTCTGCTCCCTGGTTGCCTCACTCACAGGCTGAGAGGGGAAGTCTTAGGGACTGGGTGGTTCTGGCACTGGTAACCAGTACACCCAGTTAGTAGCATTCCACATGAAAAATGATTTAAAAGCTTTTTTTTTTCTCTCTCTCTGCATTCTTACATCGTTTGGTAAGCAAGTGAAATACTGAACAGTGTCGACATTTAAAATATCACTGGCATCTGATTTAGCACCCACTGCAAGAGGCAGAATAGTTGACATTCCCCTGAATTACTGTTTCAGGTGCTGGTTTAAACTATTGTCATCTTGAAACTGCAATAACTAGAGACTTGCTTTGTGCTTGTGCTTATTCATAATTCATGCTCTGAAATGCCCTTCTGACTTCACCCTGGCACAAAGCAATCGCTTGCTGCCCTAAAGGCAGCATTGCTTCAGTTTCTACATCCCTTTGATAGGAGCAGGGAGAAGAAGAATGGTAAGTTCAAAAACAACCCGGTGCACAAAGAGCTTAATGGGCTGAGGGGGATTTAGAAAGTAATTTAATATTTGCAAGAAAGTTATGGTGAAAAAATGATTTTTTCAGTGAGTTATGTATAAAATGAAAATTTCAAAATTTTCTATTGAGACACTTCTTCACCTGCGTCACTGGTGGCTTTTTAGCCGAGAGCTGCTGAGACACCATTGTCAAATTCCTCCTTATTTGTTTCCCAGTGACGCTTGATGCTTACAGTTGCGATTTAGACTTTTGGACAATGAAAATGAGTGAAGTGAGTGTCCCTGGTGGACTGTGTCAGTGTGTACAGCGCTCGGACGGCTTTTGCTGACAGACACCGATTAGCCAGTTGTCTTTGCCTTCCCCCAGTAAGGGCCTGGAAGTGCTGGGCTATCCGGGAAGTGGGCTGCGGAGTGGTCCTGTGCCAGCTCTGGTGAGTGGCTCACCACTGGGAACTGCTGGCTCCTGCCTGTGTCATTAGCACTTCATAGGCAGGTTTCAGCTGGAATTCATTCTTCTGTGTCCAGTCTGGCCAGAGAAGAGCTGCCCTAGAGTCTAGCTCTGTCCTGGTTCTTCCCTGAACAGCTATGAGCCACTTCCCTTGGGCTGTCATTAGCAGGAGGGAAACAAAGATGCTCCCGGCACTAGACCCCTCTCCCTGGCTGGAAAATAGGGCTGCAAGAACGTTCAGTTGGATAACGCACTTCAGAGGTTCGCATGCAGTAATTAGCAGCAGGAGCCTACTTACTGTACCTTGTTGTAAGTGAGGGCTGCTCGCTGCACTGGATGTGGATGGTGCTGAGCTCCTGCATGCTCCGGAGGCGAGTGGCCGGCACGCTGGAGTTGGGAAGGTGGGTGGTCTTCTTGTTACGGCGAGAACAGCAGGAGGTGGTCAGTCCATGGTGGCTTGACAAGGAGGGGCTCCGAGAAGAAGGATAGTTTTGCATTGAGCTCTCCATGCAGTTCTGCTCGAACAGTTGCTCATCTATGAACTCGTGGTTCTGGCAGGGGAAAGAATAGTGTCATTAGTCTCTGGTGACACCAGCAGCCTTGGCCCAACAGCAGCTTGTTCGCAATGGCACCTTGTGCTAGGTGGGCGCGATGTGTCAGCCCCTTGTCTGTGTAAGATGCTCTTTGCCTCTGCCTGAAAATATTTGCAGTAGGCAGATCTTTAAAAGAAATGGCTCTGCCCTTCCACTCACTGCAACCAAGAGAAGATTTTGCTTTCCTGCATCCGTAGGGGAATAAGGGAAGCTGTTGCAGTGACAAAAGCGTGATAGTCTGTCAATGCCCCTTGCTTACGTAGCCTGAGATGGTTAACATATTGTGTTCAAATTTCCTTTAATTTTCGAGTCTGGATTCCACAAGTGGCTTCAAAAAGTCTGCAATGTCACATGGTTATGAAATCCAGGAGGAGATTTAGGCTCGTTTTCCTTTGTTCCTGGGGACAGGATTGTATTGTATTTGGATGACCATCTTGACATATAGCTTAATTGTGGGCTGTTGCTTGTATTGGCTATTGGGTGCAGAGCATACCTGCAGTTCGCTGGGTGCTGTTAGCTGAGTGGAAATAAACGTGGCAGGTGAGAGTGGGAGGTGTATAGGGGAAGGAAGTTCGGAAAGCTGAATCTGTAAAGAGGTTTTGTGCTAAGGAACAAGAAATCCTGAAAGAAAGAACTCTTATGTGCATGTATGAACACCCAGGTAGTTCTAGTGAACATACTTTATCCAGTCCCTGTCAGCATCAGAGAGGATGGGAAACAAAAGCAACGATGGTGAAGGCAGCCATCGGTTTTTGTTGGAACAATTAACAACTCTCACAGGAAACAAGAGCAAAAAGAGCCACGTGCACAAACTCCCGAAGACAAGACCAGGAACAAGAAAGGAAGCAAACACTCTCCAGACACGTCACAGAGACCACAGAGAAAACAGATTGAATTAAAAAGGAAATACCTTGATGGTGGAAGTTCGTACAGATAACAGGGGATCATCCACAAGATAGGACAATCCCTACGGGACAACATGCCAACAAAAGATAAAAACACAATTGATTGTCCATTCCGGCATTCAGAGGTTTAGTCCCAGCATTCTATTGCCTCAGCATTCCAGCCGGCTGGCTCAAGTTTGAATGGGCAACTGGACCTTCTCTTCACCAAACCTTGCCTGAATCAGACCTCTTTGTTCCTTCCTTCTCACACTTAAGCTTTGTAAAGTTATGCTCTTGGAAACAGAACAAAACTGGTACAGCTTTATTACTTTGATCTTTTGAGAGCTGAAGGCAAAGGAAAACAAAGTTTCAGCTGCTGATTCACAAGTAACGAATTGGAATTGTATTGCCATTGGGTCACCAATGGATATTGGTTTTGATCGTGCTCTGTGGAAACACAGAAGAAAGGTTTGGGTTGAAGGACTGGATTGAATGCACTCGGCATTTGGACAAAACTGGTGTGTGTGTGAATGTCCAGACTCAGTCTGGGAGTTGGAATGAGTGGAAAAACACTCCTTTTGCTTGAGCAAACTCCATCTGTTGTGTTCAAATGACAAAGTAACCTCTGTTATGGCAGCTAGAAGTACTTCAGGGTCACTTTGTCATCTGACGCACCAGATTTGTGAGCCATTCACAGCCATTCAATTGCAGGGCTGTATGCTAGTGGTGACCGCAGATGCCATGACAGTAAATAATACGCTTTAGGAATCCTTCTGCCTAGCTTAAGGAAAGGTGAATTGCCCATTGAAACAAGTTTGCAACCATGGTACATTCCTCATTCCATTCCTGCGACTTGGTCACAAAATGACTCTTCAGTGTTTAAAATTCTGTTACTCTGATTTAAATTTTTGTGAGGAGAACTGTTGCATAGTATTTAATGAACTGTGTGAACTATAGAATTTCCACACAAGCTGTTTGAACTATTCTGATTGATAATTTCAGACCAAAATCCAAACTTGTTACGTGATTTGATGCAACATCATGGTAATAACTGGCTGAAAAATGCAGGGGGAACACATTAAATATTGTGCAGATTCTTCCTCTAGCTTTTAATCACAATTCAAACTATCACTGTTATTGCCATGCTTTGCTGAAAAGAGCAACATTTGGAACATTTTCAACCACTGAGACTCGCTGTCTGAGTGGGCTCGCGTGCTGGAGGCAGTCAGCTTTGTTAGCACGGTAGGCTAATACATCCACAAATTAGGACGCGCTTTGGCCGTGCTACTTCAGTGAAGCGACTTGTGCAGCTCCCAGAAATGTCCACCTGCCCCGGGCAGAGGTCAGAATTTCTAGAAGGCTTTACAGAGTCAGAGCCTTACTAGGGCAGACCCTAGAGGCAGGGTTGTCAGCTTCTGTTTGCTTCAGCCAATTTGTTGAAGTTTTCAGACGAAAGTATTCTTGCAAAATACGGGTCAGAGCAGCAAAGGCCGCAAGCCTGAAGTTCTGAACTGAAGAGTCAGATTGTGAAATATCTGCTTGTTATGTGACATCCAAAATTGCTAGGAATAAAAGCAAGATGAGTCTTACAAAGTAAATTCAATAGTCATTGATACAGGAAGAATCAGTTCACTGTCCTTGGAATGGTGACCTTTATAGCTCGTTGTGATAAACCAGCTGTACTAGCAGGTCACTGTAAATAACCAGTCATCTTCTTCCAGTGTATCGCTGAAGCCTAAGTGGTGTTATTCCAGCATAAGCCAAACTATGGAAGTGAAGGTGATTTATCTAAAAGAAAGCTCTTGCAAGTCAAAAATCAAAAGTACATTTGATGATGGATGCAGATAATAAAAGGCATGAATATTTCAAGTGTTAACCTCTCCTCAGTCTTTCTAGAATGAATCATGGTATAGATAATGTGTTCCTTTATTGCAGAACCTTTTATATAAACCTGGAAGTAAAACATGTATCAAATAAATATCTGAAATGTTCTAAAAGACTTTTGCATAGATAATCACTTAATAATGAAAAAGAAAATTCTCACTCCCAACACCTTGCGTGATGCGAACAGAAAAGTCGTGTTCTAGAAACTGCTTGACTGGCTTTGAGATCAGTTACCTGCTCTTGTAACCAGGGCTGTGGTGAGAGAAGATATGTGCAGCCTTTAAACACATGAAGAGAGCTCATCTGCTCTGTGCCACGTAAAGGGCGAAAGGACACTTTGGTCCAGCCTGTTGGCACTGGTGACCAGGCTGTAGTTTGGAGTCACTGACAGCATCTTCCTCCCCTTAAGGCAGCAGAGCTGTCCTTTACTACTAATTAGCACAAGTGATGAGTATATATGATGTGTGACTGACAGCATGAGACAAATGCAGTTTAGCTCTCTTTCAGAAGTACTGAAGAAATTAAACTTAATTTACGCCTTGTATAGGATCTCCCTAACCCCGTGCTGAAGTTATTTGCATTCAAGTGAACTTGACTGAGCAGCCTGCTCTTGGCTTCGTACTAGTGCAGATGACTGTGGCGTAGCAGATAACCTCATCGTTATCCTTTTGTGCAGCAACTTTTTTTTTTCTTAAAGAAGACAATGAAATAGAAGTGCATTTAACCCATTGCAGAATATTCTTGAGTGTCAGCCCCCTCTAGCATAGTTTGTAGGTCTCCTGAGTCTGTCTGTGAGCCACCCCAGAGCATACTGCGTGCACCTCTTTTCCATACAAAGCTTGAGCCAGGCACAGAGACCTAGTAAGAAGTAAAAGGATTGTGCTGCTACTTACAGTTGTTTTTTCCAGGCAGTGCAGCAGGTGGTGATGTTGGCTTTCAATTAAGGAGGTGCCTTTAGTCATATGCTGTTCGTCTTCAGTGGATCCCTGAATAGCCAGAAAAAGGAGGGGGAAAAAAACCAAAACCCAAACCAGGTGTAAGACCATGAAAACAAACAGAACTATCGGCATTAGCTCTCACAGGGATAAAGAGAACAATTTCAGTGTTACCAGCTCTCAGGTTTTTCTCGTGACTCTTACGAGGTTACCTCATTTTCTTTCCTAATGACTTGGCTTGTAAACTCAGGTGAGGAGCTCAGCTTTGATTCAAAACCAGTGTGTTTCTAGCCATTTTGTAGCTGGGGAGGAAACCTGGGAAGTACTGTTGACATACGATGTCAAGGCTTGGGAACCAGAAGGTAAAGAAAAAAAGAACCTGTGCTGTTTTATTTTTCCAGCAAACATTAAGACTTTTAAGTTTGACATGGCCTTTGAATGCCAACAGATGTACCCTGAACTCTAGTTTCTGTTGGGAGATGAAACACAAGCTGTCTTGCTTTTCCTGAGCTGAAAGCCCAGCGCTGTCTGACCTCCCTGGGGCTGCTGGAACTCACGTGTGTTATTGCCAAAGGCTCTCGAGTCACGGTTGCGCGCCAGGCCAAAAAATGTGAACCCAGGCTTCGTGTCTTGGACTTTGTAATGCTCTTTCTAGAGACAGGACTCCTGGATCTCTCCCTCTTCTCATGGACATCACCAGTTGTTTTCCACACTCTGTACCTGCAGCACAGTAGAAGGGGGTGCTCTTTGCCTGCCCCGGTGTCTGTGGTTGTTGGCGGGGAGTTCATAGCAGGTCTGGAGGACTGCGTTCAGTGCAAAGTGAAGGTGTGTAACCCTTCCTGTGGCCAAGCCCTCTTTGAAAGGCAGGGAGAAGGCAGGAACAGATAAATGCTATGTATGCATGGGTTAATATCTATAAATTGTCCTATTCAAGCATACTTCAAAGGAAGAAGCGTTGTGCCGCAGTGGCAAAGGGTTTATATTCACATGAAATGTGGCAGCAGTTCCCTAGGAGAAGGAAGGTCTCCTCTTCATTCGTTACGGATTGTGGTTTTTGCTCAGTAGGATGGCTTACTGTGATTTATGTATTAGTAACACAGTGCCCAGGAGTCCTGCAAACTGACCAGGAACCCCCTCTGCATCACTTAGCACAGCCACAGAGCAAGGCAAGCCTGTCGCAGAGACTCACGATGCAGATGCTTGGCTCATTGTACAGCAACACCTGTACAACTGGGGACCAGCTTTCCCCTGTTTCCCCTGTGTACTCAAACTGCTGAAACGTGGCTAACAAACGTGTGAGCTAATTCAGAGAGTAGAGTGTACTTAGCCTCAAGCAGGCAGCCTGTGCCGTCTGGGAAGGGATTGGGTACAGCTGAGAGTATTTAGGCTGAAAAACTATTAAAAGGAGTGGCCACGCCTTGGAAGGCTTAGGAAGAGTTGAGGGGGATGAGCTGCTTTTGGTATGCCTGTTGAAGGACTCTGGATTGGAAAGCCGTGTTGGGGTACTTTTGCTGATCTGTTCTCAGCTTCTACATCAGGTATGTGTGCGCATGGTGATTTGGGGAAGAGACTGCTCAGGCTGCAGTGTTATTAGTGGTTAGGATAAGCTCCAAATCTCAGACCAATCTCTATGCTTTTGTTAAGCTGAGGGGCTTGATCTGCTTGAAACAGCTGAAATAGAAATGGATAAGAGGTTAGGAGCTCGGGTTCAGTATGTGTGTAATATTTAGCTCATGCAGAAAGCCTGGCATCAAGCATTCATCAACACGTCAATAGGCCAACTTAGTCAACTTGGGTGCGGGGGGAGAAATCCAGCACTCTGTGTTTTTGGTTTCTGCACTGTATCAGTGAATCAGATGCTTAACATTCCTCAAAATATAGCATGTCACTTACCCTATGATCTGATGATCAGATACACCTGAGAAATGGAAGGAAAATAAGTAATAGGGGTTGTTTAGAGAGTTTTTCTGCTATCTGGGAACCAGGATTATTTTTCTCCCTTTCTCTGTTCTGTGGTGGCAGATTTAAGATCTGGTTTGTTGAGGATGTTACTGTTACTACTTAAGCTCCTGATCTTGAAATTTACTGTGATTTCATGACACGTTAATCTGTGTGTGTCTTTGATGACTAGTGTTTCCAAAGACAATTACATGCATTAAAATAGCAATTAGGTGGTGTAAAATGTTTCCCTGTGCTCCATAAGTAAGGGGTGCCTGGTGTCTTCTGTAATGCTGAAATCTGAAAGTCAGAAATTGATGTGCATGGCTTGAATCTTTGCCTAGACACGAAACAGCAGTATCTAACTGTTCAAGAGAGAAAATGGGTGAGATGGGAGACACAGCAGAACATCTTGGGAGAGGTGCCAAGTCGTTGTCTGTTGCTCTCAAGGGGGCCAAACTCAACTATGCTTAAAGCATTGCTTTTAAACACACCCATGTGTCCCAGTGATCGACTGCAAATGCGTGCTCTGGATGCCGTTTCCAGGGTGGTTTTGTGGTCCTTAAGTGAAGGAATAACTCTGTTTCTGACAGATGCCAAAACATAGCTGAACTGGTACATTAAAAAACCTGACTTACTGAACACAGAATTAATAGATTCCTATGGGAATGCATCTTAGGCAGGTTGTGGATTTTTTGTTGCGGTTGTTTTGGAAGGTGAGCATTCCCAGAAGTATTTTTAGAAGTGGTCTAAAAAAAAAATCAGTTCCATTTTTCTTATTAATAATCCTCCTGTTGAGCTAACACATCAAGCAGGTTCTGTTCGTACCCTGCTGAGATTACTGACTCTGCTGGAGTCTGTGTTGGAATATTTCCCATGGAGGTCCTTGCAAGCCCTAAAGCGGATATGATGCTGTACTAAAACACTGGAAAAGGAGAGAGAAAGAGTACGTATTGCAAACAGTATCTTTTTATGAGGATTTGCCTGAGAGGAGATCTAAATGGAATCTGAAAGCAAAGGCAGAGCTTCCATACCTCTGGCAGAAGACCTAAGCCAATTGCTAGATTTGGGCAGCACAGCTTAGTCGCTCCCTCTGCCTTCCATCGTGAGGCTGGGCTTGCCGCTGATGGAAATGGGTCAAGGCATGGCAGTGACCAGGAATGAAGTGTAGCGTCAGCGAGTATGGCTCGTACCTTATCTTCCTTTCCCTCTTTCTTCAGTGAGGTCAGTGTTTTCAGAAACAAAGAGCATGTGCCCACCGAGAACATCCCAGCGTGCCAGCTGAGAATGAGATCTGCAGGAACTACTGCCCCAGGACAGCGAGAGTGCCAACATCACACAAATGCTTGGCATTTTGATAGTGCTGGTGAGGAATGTGTACCTATAGCGATTGCATCATTGGTACCTGCCGCTGCAGCAAACAAAGTCTGTGTCTTCATTAGAAGAGACTGGCTGTAATGAAAAGGCTGGGGGGGGGGAGAAGAGGAGGTAGTTTGCATTTTGAGCTGGGATGCCAGTTTTGCAAAGATTTGATGCCAGCTAGCATTCAGTTTGTTCTTGGAAGACATTCACTGAGCTGCTGGTTGCTTGGAGGGAGACTGAAAACATACTGTAGTGTCAGTTCTGAAATCCAAAATACTTCCATTTTACCCCTTCTACTCAGTGCTTCAGCATGCAAAATTGGGCACTGGTGAACTGAGATGAACTGGTTCAGCGGGTAGGCTGCCCTTTCCCATGAGAATGGCTATAATGCTTATCTATGGCTAAGCAGATTCTGCTTGTGAAAAGGCACAAGACCTCACAACCTACTGTTCCTAGGATATACACCTCCTAGCCTTTTAGCTAAAAGGGAATTTCAGCTAACTGTACAAGGAGATTAACACTAAGAGGATATGTAGGCTGCTGCCATGGGAAGAAGCTCACCATCCCTTGAGCACTTCTGACATAAAGCCCGCTAAAAAGCTCTCTAAATGAGGAAGAAAAAAAAAAAAATGGTCTGAGTACTTTGTGTCTAGATGGCAAATGCAAAATGCCACAAATCCCTGTTTCTGAAGTAAAGGCTCTGTATTTTTGCTGGGAACAGAGCTCCTTCCTGCTGCTGTCCTTGGATGAATCCTTTTCTTCACTTTTTCTGTACTTGGATACAAGGCTACAGGCTAAAGACATGCTGTTCCCTTGGAACGATGGTGTCAGTGTATTCATTCTGGTGCTAATGAAAGGACATTCTGGCGCCCGTTCCACAATCTTGAGCAGTCCTTATTGCCCAATGTATTAGTTTGACTGCCGAGCCACAGCCAGGGTACGTTCTGGGGCAGATGTTTCCCTTGGTGAACCCTCAAGGTGTCAGACTGCAGGGCAGTCTGCTGGGCACTTGTAAAACAATTGTGATTGCTCGTGATGAAAGCGATAATATCTAGCCATGGCCATATAGTAATTGCAGTTGGAATTACTGCTGGGTAACAAACCAGCCCTATGGCAATCTGGCCCTGTGGAGTCCATTAAAGTTAGCGTGAGTCCTGGGCAAGGTATCGAAATGGGTTGTGTACCTGACCGATGAAGCAGTTTGATACTAATTTGACTGACAGATATGCACAGTATGTAGGTAATGTTTTGGTCTCTAATATTCCTTCATATTTTTACAGCTTAAAAAATTTGGCTGGCTAGACTATGCTGTCATTCCTGTTTTGTACCCTTAAGAATAGTTTGTTCTCCTGCCATGAAATGAAAGGACATAAAATCCTGCCTTGCGGAGTTAAAATGGTCATGTATACCTTTACAACAAAGGATGTTCTGCAGTTCTGTAATTAATTAATGCCACTACCTGTGGATGGAGAGACATGTCTTGGTTCTTGATTCGGGTATGTGGCTAGTCCTCAGGTAGTCAAAGATCCTTTCCTGGTGGTGGTGGTGCAGATGCCAGACAGGGCTTTGGCAAGTTTCTCCGTTTAGTGAATTATGTTCCCTGTGTGCCACAGGTGGATGGTAATTCTGCCTTCCCTTTGCCTTTGATTATTTCAACAGGAAGTTCCTGAGGGTGGGACGTGTGGCTCTTGCTGGGCTGTGGGGCAGTCGGGTTAGCATTTAGAGCTAGAAGCCACCAGAAAGCAATTTGCTCCCAGAAATGCTTGGGAAGACCTGCTCTGTGTATCTAAATTTAGTTATTAATGGGTAAAAGGAATCTTCTAGAACTTCTTTAGAAATGTTTTTGTTTTCTTTCCTGTGTCTACAGTAACTTTGTAGGTGACAAAATGACCCTTCTTCCAGTTATTTTTGGGCAAGTGCCAGGAAATGAACACATTCAGCCAAATGTTGCTCTCAACCTCATGCATTTTGGAGCTAAGCACTGGTGCGTCAGCTGCTCTTCTGTGAGTGGTCTTGGCAAGGAGTTTTGGTTGACAGGAGAAGTGAGGAGATTCTTGTTGGGATGACAGGCTGGAAGATCAAGTGGAGACTGAGTGTCCCTGCTAAGCTCTTCTGGCGTTTTAAAAACTAGAAATCTGAAGCTCAAAAGGAATTTTAAAATTTGTAGTCAAATTTTTGCATGTTCCTGGGTAATGAAATAGCAGAATCTCCACTGAGCTGGAATCCCAGTCCCTTTCCTCTGTGGGGATAAGGCTCTAGCCCACGTGTGACAGTCTTCCTGGTCTCTCATATTTTTGATAAAGAAACTATTCCTGAGCTGCTCAACAGCAACATATGGTTCAAGAAACGGATTTTCTGAGCGTTGCTGCCATTCGCAGAGCAGGAGACAATGTCAAATGTGTAGTCAGAAGGATCAAACTTGTTTTGGAGGGGAGAGCAGTAACTGATCTGGGCGTCCTTCCTTCCAAATCTGTACTTCATGTGAAGTGCTTCTGCAGAGTCAGTTTAAGAACTATCCCAGTTGTAAAGAGCCAGATTCCTCTATCTCTGTCTACAGTGCTGAGTAGCATCATATGTGCAAAGTAAGGTGCTGGACAATTTCCATCTGTGCACTGCACCTACTGAACTTGGGTAGAAGTGGGCTCAGGTCCTCGTGAGCAGCTTTCACCTTGAGCTGAAAAGGTTTTTCAGCTTTGATTTTACAAATGCAAGGATGTGTGGCAGGGAAAACAGACATTTTAAGGATTAGGCCCCAAGTAAGGATGCATGAACAAGTACTAGGCAGCTCTGGTGGCTCAATTAAGCATTCTTCATCTTGCTCTTTGCTCCCCACGTGTGCGAAAGGCTGATTTATTTGGAATGAAATCCATGAAGTGTGCTAATACCTGCTCTGGTGTTGATCAGGCTTAATGTAATAACCTCCCCTCATTTTCGCTGATTCTGCTGAGCAATCTGACGCACTTAAAACTTTTCTATTCATGAATATCTAGTATTAGCCTCCAGAGGCCTTTCTGTTAAAAATAAACCCACCGCTAAACTGCCTGAAACAGGAGCTAGCAAATGTTTCCCTGTCCTGTTGGGCATGATCAGATAGTCCATGTTAGAGGGAGATGCTTGAAAATAAACAACTGTATGTTGAAAGAGAGGGGATATTTATAGTATGGGCAGACTCTGAGTGGTATAAATCAATACAGCTCTAACAGCTCCATTGCACAGAGGGACCTGAGGGAACCGTGAACCTGATCGTTGCTGGAAGGTCAGACCCTTTCCTAGCTCAAGGAGGAGCCCAAGGAAGCTTTTTCCTCCCGTCGGATCTTGCAGCTGGATTCCAGCTGTCCCTCCACATGGTACGGACAGTACACGAGAGCACAATTACAGCACAACGCCATTCCGTGTGCGAGGCTGCCACGCCGAATAATGAGCAGTTAGGTGGCAATGGAGGGAGCCCAGGGAGAGGAGTGAGAACGGGGAACTTCTCAAACTCTGTGGAAGGAGAGATTGTCTCTGTACTCACCGTCAGCTCAAGGGCTTCATTCAGGAGGCCGTTGCGCTTGCTGTGAAGGTAAGCGTTGGAGCTGCCTGTTTTGGCCACTCGAATCCTCGCGAGCCGGGCTTTCTGTGAAGAAGGCAAACAAGCTGAAGTTATACCTTGGCACACCAAGTGATCGGTCCTGTGCTGACAATACCAGGAGGAAGGAAACTTCAGATTTTCTTGTACCCAAAATAGCCCAGGGGTGAAATACAAGGGGTGCGCAGGTGGGGCAAGGTGCTGTTGAGAACAGCCAACACAGGTCTGTCTCCAGGGGTTCGCTGAGTACCAGTGTCTGAAGAACATAGCCTGCCACAGAGCATTAATGGCCTTTCAAGAGATGAGAAATGGAGTCCTGTGGATTTGTTTATCCTTTCAAAAGTTAATAGTAATTTTTTCGGTGCGAGATGTACAGCAACTGAGACACTTGTCTTGGACGTGTTCCTGGCATAGGAGGACTGTATGACTGTATGTGATCTAGCGATGCGTATTATATGCTCTGCACGCGTGTTCTTTTCATGGCTCACCTCCTCTCTAACATGCTTGGGTTTTAATCCTCTCTTTATCTTTCAGCTGTGTGCTCTGACATCTGTGCTGTCACTTGCTCTGGTTGTACTGCAGCTAGCACGGTGACACCCAGTGCTCGGTGATGGTGGAGATGCTGCCGCAGTACAAGCGGCCAGGAGCAGGCGTTGGGAGGGAGGAGAGCTGACAGGGAGGTTGGTAACTTGCTCTGCTTACCAGTCAAGTAGTGTAGGTTGTTAATTTAGCATTGGGAAATACTAATGAAAAAGTGTACATTCATCACCTTGCAGTAGGGAGAGGCACCGTAGTTGTTCCTTCTGTCCTCTGCAGTGGCAGTGCTAGTTTAATAACTTTAGTGTCTGGTGACATAAGACTGTCCAAAAATATGCCTCTCTTGACAAACAGACAGAAGTTACCCTGCAGCAACACAGATGTTCAACTCTTCTCATTTTTATTTATCCCCGACCTCCAGGTGGACAAGTTAAATCATAAAACCAGTCCAGAATAAAGCAAGCAAGAAAAACTAATAAGGCAATTTTCCTTTTTAATTGCACAGTTTTTGGTGTTTCAGTTTTTCTTTTCAATTGTTGCCTGGTTCTCTGTCAAGTGCTGATTTGCCTCTTTCTTTTCTACTGTTAATTTATGACTCAAATACCATTAAAAGCAAATACATGAAATAGCTGTGGCTATTAAAAAATAATTACATTGTGCTGTATTTTAAAATGCTGCATAATCTTTTAAATAACATGGAACTCATGATTTTCCTTTCTAATTAGAGGTGCTAATGGGTATGCACTGTAGGAATAGTAAAGCCAAGAGACAAATATCTGCAGTGGGTCCAGAGAGTGTAATAATTCCAGGAGCTCTATTACCGTACGTGAGTGAGTGACTCTGGCCCTCAGTATCTGAAAGATTTGTTTAACCTTAAGACCTTCTGCTTAAGCAGACCATTTCTCAAAGACATGTACAAGATACTAGTTTGCAGCTTTAATTAGGTGACATAGACTATGACCAGTCTGAAAAATAGGTCTTCTTTTGACACCCCAAAACGGGGCCATCCAAAATTGACTTTCTCTTCTATACTTCACCTAGATTTCATTGTCCCATTTTAATGTTAAGACTCAAAGTCACTATATGAGAGTGAAATCTGATGAAACCTACCCTGTGCTGGGGCCAAGGTATCTCACAGGGCGATCTGGTCACCCTGTGAGAGGGGCACAAGTTGAATTTGCAAGACGTAGGCTGGGGATATAAGAAGAAAGTTAAATCGGATCTTCAGTTTCTCTGAAAGCTTTCCCCAACTGCTGCGTTGCTCTAGGCTCTGAATAACACTGGCCTGAGACTGTAATCTGGAACAAAAAATGCAGAGACTAGTTCTACTGAAGATGTGTTATGAGGAGAGAGCAGGGGATGAGGGACTGAGGGATATTCCATTTCCCAGTTACATGGCGTTGTCTCTCTGTTCCTGTTAATTAAGTTTCCATTAAATTATTTCTTCTATTTGCAAGTATATGACTTTGTGTCTCTGTTCCTTACTTTTCACAATGATCCTAGATCTTTTCCATAACCAGGACTGGATATTGGATCCAGTGGTGGCATTTACAGTGAGGCTCTGATGGCAATCACAGAAGACTTCCATTTCCTTTCTGTGCTTGACAGAATATCAGCTCCTTTGGCGCAGGAATTATGAGAGTCCCCCAACTCAGCCACCTCACCGATAGCAGGGAAGGTTTCAGCCTCATCGTTAGTTCAGTCACTTGTTAAAGTGGATTCAGTCTTAGGCTCTTGTAATGAACATTATTCCCTTTGCCTCCAGGCTAGCAGGGGATCAAATATTAATAGCTGTACTCCGTGTGGACTGGAGATGGTTCGTTTCTGAGGTCTGTTCCCTTTTCTTCTTTGAAACAGGGCCACTAGCTATCTGAATAATTAAGCCCCATAGCTTTTGTAGTTTAGAACAGACGTTGTTATTTTAAAAAATGTCAGTGGGGCAGGACAGAAGTTAATCCTATTCTCCTTACACGAAAGACTGTCTAGGATAGTCACATAGCCTGACTCTCTGTCCCCATCATGATTAAATTTGGTAGATATCTTGATTAACTCAGAGAAGTTAATTAAAATTGGTGCCTAAAATTGGTTTGGCCCTCTAGACAGTTTCCCACATCAGACTAGAAACAACTCTAAAACCATAGCTCATGTTTTTATGGGGATGTCTGTGTGTAAATGTGCACTATTTGGACAGCATACCTATCAAGTAATACAAACGTTACGTGATACTCGGGCACACGGTGTACGCTTACGCGGGATGCGGTACTTCCATCGTGCCCGACGGTGACAGCGGTGTCAGCGCAGCAAAGCGCTCCCCTGGCAGCTGCAGCAGACTTTGAGCACTGGTTTATGCGGCTGAGCTAAGTGCATTGAGGACGTGGAGGGCACTTGGCAGCAGCGTAAGACTTGGGTTACAGTGTGGAAGCGGGTCAAGCTGGCCATTTCAGAGGAGTTTTGTGTTAGCTGTTGGAACACATGGGTCTGGGCTTGGCCAGCCAGCAGTGGTACGCTTTGGCAGGCCAGGCGAGGAGGCAGAAGCCTTGAACTTGGGGCACCCCATGCAAGCTTTGAAACAGCGGTGTTTTGCAGGGAACAGTACTATGTACTGTCACACATTTCACTGTCATAAACCTAAAGGATTCGGCTGATGGCGTCTTCCAAATTCTGCCTGTTTTTAGCACGTGTGGGTATGCTTTTATCATCCCTGTCCTGCAGAGCTCAATACTTCTGGTCTGTGGGACAGAAGACACACAAGTGGGGGACCATGTTTTTCTGGCCATCTGCTGCAAAAGTCTTTTGGAGGATAGCTGTCTTCTGCATCTTATCCTACACGTGACAGACTAAAGGTCATTAGGGCCAGGCCTGAGATCACCGTTACTGAATATAACCTCTGCACAGAGAGTCTAAAAAAGGAAAAGAAAACGGCACACTGTGTCTGCATGTAGAGTGGTAAGAGGAGTTGCTAGGAAACCACAGGATCTCAAAATGCATATGACCTAATCTGGAAGATAATTTATATGATGAAAATAATAATACTAATGACAGCCACTTACAGGTTAGAATGATTAATTTGGTTATCTTGGAGCCCACGTGTTTCTGAGAGCAGGATGGAAGGCAGGTCTCAATAACTGCTGGCTCCGTTCTGCTTTTTAAGAAACCGGAGACTCGGAACAAGCAGGAAGGGCAGTGGAGCCCTGTACACATGGAGTGCTGAGGTACGGTGGGGAGGATGATGTCAGCGGCTGTCAGCATCCTGGGTACCTACATTTCCCAAAGGGACTGACAAAGGAGAAAGAATAGCCTGTCTTCATCTTTTAGCTGCTTTGGAGAAGTGCAAGGAGCGGGAGTTGCTGGCTAGGAAAAATGCTTACCAGATGGCAGGCCCAGGAAACAGCTAATCATTATTTATTAATGATTTTCATTAGTTCTTATGGAGATAATGTTCATTCTTGATTCATGTGATATAATAAACTATTAAGGTACAACCTATGACATAATTTCATATTTGCCAGACATCTTCAGCTTTGCAGTTCCTCTGTACTTGAGCGAGGGGATGATTGGAGTAGATGCATGTCAGACACTGTGTGTACAGGTCCTGCGTCCACTCCTGCTCCCTCCTTGGACTGGAGCTGTTACCAGCATTATCCTCCACAGAATGGTTGAGGTTGGAAGGGACCTCCGGAGGTCGTCTGATCCAACCTCCCCCTGCTCAAGCAAGGCCACCTAGATCCGGTTGCCCAGGAGGCGTTTGGTGATCTCCAAGGATGGCAACTCCACAACCTTCCTGGGCAACTTGTGCCAGTGCTCAATCACCCTCACAGTGGAACAGACTTTCCTGATGTTCAGATGGAGCCTCCTGTGTTCCAGTTTGTGCCCATCACCTCTAGTCCCGTCACTGCACACCACTGAGAAGAGCCTGGCTGGGTCCTCTTTGCACCCTCCCTTCCGGTATTTATATACATTAATAAGATTCTTCCAAGCCTCCTCTTCTTTAGGCTAAACAGTCCCAGCTCTCTCAGCCTTTCCTTCTATGAGAGATGCTCCAGTCCGTGTCCTATCTAACTTTATCTGCTAAGCCCACACTGAGAGTATTCCTGGCAGAAAATGCAGCTACACTCCGTAATTCACAGCGCTTCACGTTTTACTTCCTAAACAATGAGTAGCTGGAACATGAGCCGAGCTGCTGGTGACTGCTGCAGTGAGCCCCGCGGGGCAGTAGGTGCACATCACTGCGCTTTGAAGGCCGAAATGAGGCTGTGCTCAAAAGTAATCAATAGAATACTTTTGATATGATTTTTATTTCTAAGGTGAAATATCATAGCCATTTGATAAGTGCTCAGTTGTCTTGCAGTTGTCTGCATCTGTTGCTAGTTTGGGTCTGGACTTAAGTTCTAGGTGGAAAAAACATGGCTGATTCTGGGATATGGAAAAGATATCGAGCAGACCATACAGTTAAATGTGAGTTTCTGCAGACTTAACAAGAGGCCTTAGAGTATGGAATGACAAAAAAGTAT